CCCCTCTTCCATTATGGCTGGCGCCATTGTCCCGAATATGCAAATCGGTTTACCTGGTGAGCAACAGCCGCGGTATTTCGATAAATTCGGTGGCTTCTTTTTCCACTGGAATTAAAGATGATTAAAGTCGTTCGACCACGGATGATGGAATTATTGTAGTTGAAGAAGATCGACAAGGCAATAACAATTGGTATTTTTGTTTCATTAATTGTTGTTGCTTGTTGTTGTTGTATGTTGATAATTATATGTGATGTTGTATTAATTAATTTGAAATTTTGTTATTTTAATGTTGATAGGAATTTTTAGATGTGAAAAAGAAGTAGGGTTTAAATAGAGAATTGCCTTATTCTTTGGATATCTTGTGAACTTTTGCACGTTACTTTTGTACAATTTAAATCAATAGTCTAATATTTTTGATCGTTTTATGATTTTTTTTTTTAAATGATATAGCCTTTTGGAACCCTTCATTTCAAAATCCAAAATCCCACAAAATCGATTTAATTAATTCTTTTATGTACAATGCAATTTTTTTAAAGATATTCCTTTTATTTACTTTATATATCGTAAATTCGTCCAATTCGAACAACTTCCAACCGATCTTAATAATCATCGTGAAATTCTGAAATGAGAATAAAATAAGAATAGAATAAATAAGAGCAATTTGTCATCATTGTGAAACCATTGATTTCCTCTTGCATCCTCCAAAGAAATTCGTCACATTTCCCTCTAAATAAAATATTGATTTTTGTCGTCGGAATATTTTCGATGAAGACTTGAACGAAGAAAAGCCGAAAGCTCTCTCGTTCATCTCGCGAGAGATCTTATCGATTTAAAGGCAGACGAGAGAGCTAAATGTGGAACGGTTTGATATTTTCGTTACGCAGCCGCTGTTGCAACGGCTCCAATCAATGCTACACTCGGCGATAAACGCACCAACGAATCTGGGCCAACAATTCATATTACCGCAACGTTGTCATAGCGGGTGCATCCCAGCAACCGTGGTACACCGTGGTGCATTGGCTACGTTATTGCTACACGAGCAATAATAAATCGTTGATTTAGCAATGTTCTTTCAGCAATCAGTGAGAGCGTGTTAAGTGTATTTCGCGAACATCGCGTTTTATATCGGCGAGAAAAGGGGGAGGAAAGGCGAGAAAAAAGCCAAATGGGATAGGGATCATATACTTGGAACGTGTGTAGCTCGAAGGAAACCATATTTGGTTTTATCCAACCATATCTTGTGATTCTCTGTGTTTTATTTCCAACAAAAAAGGAAACAGAGAATAGAAGAAGATAAAAATTGGAAGAATTTATTCTTTCTTGGAAGGGTAGTTTTCAACAATTTGAAGAAAAATTAAAAAAGAAATAGTTATACGATAGGGATTATAATATATTTTGCAATGATATAAATTATCGTGTTGATATGACACGTTTCAATTTATCAAATTTGGAATTTGTTTAGGTTAGATTAGGTCAAATAACAAGCATGTAAAACAATTTATTAAGTAATCGTTTTATGGATATGGAAAAGATATATTGAAATTTCCAGTATATATCATAATTAACATTATTCTGTTTTACATGAATAATAATAACAACACATATAATAAAATATCTCAAATTCTTCCTTTTCTTATGAGTCCCAGATATTCCAAATGATCTTTAATAATCTTTCTAATATTCAGAACGTAACAATATTATCTCGTTTCTCTTATTAAAATATAAAAATCGCTTGATTTTTCCTACAAATTTCGATAAAGTAAAAATTTTGAACATAAAAATCAAGAAATGAATCTGTCCACTTCTTCTCCAAAAATGAAGGCAAAAATTCCGTTCGAAACGAAACTCGATGGAATGGCGAAGAAATCGATGCATCATATCGTTCGTCCAATTTGCAGTGTCTAACCAGGCGAAATAAATTTGCGCGAAAGCGCAGATGCAATCGGCCGTCGTAGATCATCGAGCGCAAGAAGATCGAGTAAGAGGGTAACGAAACGAGCAACTGGCAATAATACGTCGATTTGCAAGCATCTCCAGACGAGGCGTCTGATGTATCCCCCGATACATCATCGTTTCTTCCTTCTTCTTTTTCTTCTTCTACTTCTTCTTCTCCTTTTTCGAACAGCTTCGTGTAGACAGATCGTGTCCTCGGCCTAGAAATCATCGTCATCCGTGCTCCGTATATCGCAATGGGTCAGAGCGAAACGTGTTCCGGACAAGTGCTTGCTTAAGTAGCAACATTAATCGTGCTCACCCATGCAGCCAGTTCTTAATCCTAATTTAAAGCCGGGACTGAGGCTTTCGACAAACCTTTTCAAGCGGTTGCGCAAAAAAAAAAAAAAAGAAAAATATGGTGTAACTCGATATTTGCCAATATTTATATCAATTGTATCGATTGTAATTTTTAAAAAATGTTTATTTTCCGAATGATAATATTTTCGTACATATATCCGTTTCAAATATATCCGAATTTGTTCAAAACGAGTTCGAAATGAACTGGCAGTGCCATCTATAATAACTTTCCGTAAATCGATCGTGTTTGTTAAGTAAAACGAAAATTCATGTTTTATACCTATATATTGTGATATTTTTTTTTTCACATTGTACATTATCGTTATTTATGGATGGATGTTGTTATAGCTTACGTAGATTTAATAAATTAATTAATAAATTGAATTAATTAGTAAGAGTAAATAAAATAAAATATTAGTGCAAGGATAGCGTTTATGCGCATAAATATATGATTCACACGTAATGGATGTTTACGTAAATTAAAATTTATATGAAAATAATGTTTTTTTTGCGTATCATGTATATTTTATAAATTTTCTACAAACTTTTGTAATCTGATAATCATATAAATACACGTTTTTTAAATGTATTATTTTAATTGAGCAATTGAAATTTTAAATTTTAATAAATAAATTTGAATAAAAATTTATATATTCTTAGAAAACAATCGTTTTGAAGAATGAAGAAATCATTAATCATGATAAAGCTTTATAAACTGAAATAACGTAACAAGTCGTACAATTCTTCAAGCGTAAAGGGTTTCGTGTAAAGGATATATAACTACTTATACTATTCACAATGCTTATAATATTATTATATCACAATTATCGTGTATCAGATAAACGAAAAAGATTTTTTAACAAAATTGAAACAAGAATTCGATGATAATAATATATGTAATAATAATTTCCTGCAATGTCTGATACTGGTACTGTCATGTTGGCCAATCTACTTATAATTCAAAATGCACAGAGCGTTCTATTAAGAATGCAACTACTTTCCTACTCGATAGTCCAACGCGCAAGAACTTTTGGCGTATTCGAATCACGATTATAATAAACGAGTGTCTAAAATTTGATCAACAAGAACAAGAATTAAAACCGCGTTCTGAATGCAATAAGATCGAAAACTAAGGGCAATGACATATTAATCGAATCTCGCTCTATATATTCTCACTTGTTCCAAATTTAAATATGCAAATTATATTATCTATCCTTTCTTTAATTTTCTATTTTAGAGGAATAAAAAATTGTAGGCCAAATTATTCTAAATTTTTCTAAAAAAAGTAAAATTGTAAATGTAAATATGCAAAATATGCCGTGTATTTTTTTTTCTTTTCTTTTTTTTAGAATCTATTATTTATCCTCTAACAATATATCTTCATTTTCATCAAATTTAAACATATAATAAAATATGCATATTCATTCTATACCTATTCTTTTTTCTCTAAAAAATAAAAAAATCAGAACTGTTCTAAATTTCAAATACGAGGATTCAAAATATCATTATCACTTTTTTATTTTTCTAGAAACTTCCCAATTTCCAAAAAGTAAAATTTCCTCTCTGGGGAAAAAAAAAAATAAAAATTATTCTGCAAAGGAGCATCCCCTGTTGAAAACTCCACGTCGTCAACGAATACAATCAGCGCCAAAATAATATATCAAATTAAAAGTTGAACAATCCACGTAAATATTTTATATAAAATGGCGAAACATCAAACTAACCGGTACGCGATGAGTATGCATGTCCGCGCCTCGGGTGATCGTTACCATCATCATCTCTCATCTGGTCGCTCTTCCATCAGCCGTGACATCAAGGCCGTATCTGCGGCTATTCATCATAACTTAGAGAGCTTTGAACGTGTT